AGAAATTGAAAAATGAAAATTATTGTGACTTATTTGACAGCGATACGGACGAAGAGAATATTTTGAATATACGAAGAGAACAGAAAAGAAAGAGATTTATAGTTAGCTCCGAAAGTGAAAATGAGGAAGAGATTGAAACTGCTATGGACGGAACTGTTTGGAAAAAAATAAAGGAAGGGTCTAACAGTGGAAGAACATCGATTCATAATATTTTCAAGGAAATATCAGGACCGACAGGATACGCTAAACGAAATATTATGAAGGGCAGAGCATTTGCAGCATTTTCTTTGATTATTGATCATAAAATGATTGAACATGTAAGAGAATATACGGAATCAGAGGCTTTTCGAGTGTTGAAAACGAAGTGGAATTTATCTATTGCAAAATTATATGCTTTTATTGGACTTCTATATGCACGCGGCGCATATGAGGCTAAAAATATTAATTTGTCATATTTATGGAACAAGAAATCGGGTCCGTCCTTTTTCTCGACAACTATGGGTCGAAATGACTTCGCAGAAATCATGAGATTTATTCGATTTGACAACAAAAATCAACGAAGCCAACGCTTACAAAACGATAAGTTCGCATTGATTTTTCAAGTTTGGTATAAATTTATCGAAAACAGCCAGAACTGTTATAAACCAGGAGCATATCTTACTATAGATGAACAATTGTTTCCTACAAAAGCACGTTGTAGATTTACTCAATATATGCCCAATAAACCGGACAAATTTGGTATAAAATTCTGGTTAGCTTCCGATGTAACTAATAAATATATAGTAAACGGCTTACCATATTTGGGAAAAGATGAAGAGAGAGAATCATCAATCCCACTTGGAGAATTTGTAACTTTGAAATTAGCAGAACCATATACGGGCCATGGGATAAATATAACAGTTGACAATTTTTTTACAAGCGCGTCACTAGCAAGTAAACTTCTAGCAAAACGAACAACGATTGTTGGAACTATCCGGAGAAATAAAACCAATGTAACCGATCGAATGGCCAGAAAATATAGTGTAAAATCTAAATGTCAAAGATGGCCTTTACAGGTATTTTTCAATATCTTAAATTTATCTGGGATAAATGCTTGGATTTGGCACCGAATATCAGAAAGAGAAACAGATAAGCCAAGAATGCTCATCAAAAACATTAATAAATACAAATACTGTTTCTTCTGAACGAAGATCTTGTCAAATAAGATATTGTAAAATCAATAAAACAAATAAAATTTGTATAAAATGTAAAAAATACGTATGTGGAAAATGTGCAATACAAAATGCTGTAATTTGTAAAAAATGTGATGAAAATGCATAAAAGTAAATAAAACATACAACATCGAAAAGCGGGGAACGAGTTTTTAATGTAGCATCAGAAAAATATTTTGTTTACTATCTACTTTATATATGTTTTTTTGACGCGGTCATTTGACCGCTCACGGTAGAAATAGGTATACATGGAATGTCGGTAGCTTTAGTGTTAACCTTACATTATGTCATCCTAAGAACTAATTGAACGACGTTCTCTCTTCTTATTGGGCCTTTCGTTCATTTTTGCGAACAACGAACTGTAGTGGTAAAAATGACAAAGTAAAAAACAGTTTCTACGTAACGGTGAAATTCGTTGATTTTCACCTTTTTCTACATAAAATAACAACTTTCCGTTTAAAATTATTGATTGATTTATTCAATGCAGGCCGACATGAATCATATAGCGTTCGAAATTGCATTTTCGACCTTCATTACTTTTGCTGTTTAATTTGAAGACATCTGACGACGAAGTCTATCAAACCGATTCAGAATCTTATTGTGATGCTACTCTATCCTGTCCCAATTGTCGGTTCAGTATTCAACGGTTTAAAAGTGGTGATTTTGAACGGCCTAGAGAACCAAAAAGATCGAAAACAATGAATTGAAAGACTTATTGGGCGAAAGCCCAGCTCAAGCTCTCAAAAAACTATCGAACAGTTTGATAGTGAACGAATCAAAAGGAGGGAAAACGACTACCTTTTAAATGACATTTCGAATGAGACAAGAAAAAGAAAAGTTCTCAGTGGCGCATTGTGACTAGCAATAAAAGGGGATCTACTACGACAATCCCAAGCACAAAAAGTCAGCCATACGTCTGGGAGAACCATTCACATCGACACCGAGGCGCAATATTCGTGGCAATAAAGTTTTGCTCTCTACTAAAGCGAACGAAACTGTTGCTGCAAATTTCCACCGACGTCAAATGAAAAAAATGGAACAAAAAATTGTTACACAAAACACCAGCGATAGCGACTAAAATAACTACCGCACGAATTGGCTGAAAATGCCATTTCGTCTACTTGTTGTTAGAGTCCGGATGGGAAGCGTGCTCACCAGACATAGAGCTTCCTGATTACCACCTGATTCATACCGATACACCATGGCTTGGCTGGCGCGGTAAAAGCGCGAAAATTGATCCATGATGGGATCGGAGGAAAACCATTATTGAGATCTTTTCACACGATAACGCCATGTCGCCAAAAGTATGGTAAAATGTTGTGGAAAATATAATATTTTAATTAACATACATTCGAGAAATTTTTAAGCAAGTCTTGGATTATTTGCTACTATCGATTTTGTTTTATTTTTTTGTAATTTTTCGCGTAATATACTCATTTTCAAACTTTCCAGGTTAAGTGACTATGGACTAAGAATATATATACAACGCTTTCTATCCTATCTCAAGTTTGAGTAAATCTTAAACGACAGATAGGCCGAGTTGTTGTGGATTTAAATAAACTCTGGATACCTGATGCATGTCGTTAGATTTAAGCTGCTGTTTAATATAACATATAACACTTTGTAGGACTTTGTAGCACCGAATTAATAGTCGTGTGTTAGTTGTAGATTCCCGAAGAGCAGCATTCACCTCTATACAAGCAACAGTTACTTACTCGTGAGAATAAAATGATTAAAATTTATCCTCATTAGAAATAATTTCGAGATTAAATTTTGGATATAGGGTTGAAGAATCAATTAGGATAACAACATGTATACAAAGAGAAAATATCTATGCTGATCAAGCATAAGGAGTCAATGTACTTCATACATCCAACAAATCTAATCGATTGCATATGGTGGAGGTAAAAATCAAAAAAAAAAGACGGTTTCTAATGTAATGTCCATACTGATGATTTTGATAAATTACATGGTGTGAATGACAGGTGTAGATGTTACAAATATTTTGTATGCATTCTACAATGGAAAATATAAGAAGCGTACACAACATTTAAAAACGTGTCGAAAATAAGTATAAATATATTGTGAATCTATAAAACAACTTTTAATGTAAATATATATGGATGAGGCAATATAGATTTTTCACTGAAAATGGAAGAGTAAAATTTTGTTTTTATGAAAAACATGATTTTGATGCTGTTTATTTTAAAGTTTTTTTCTTTTTCTTATCTAGCCAAAAGATGCATCTTGCGTGTTTTCCGCTGAAAACATGAAATTGAACTTGAAAGCTCATAATGTAAATTCAGGCCAAAAGCTTATAGGAAAGAGAGAAATAAACAAGCAGTGGGCATACGCAGTATACACGTAAATTATTGCTGATATTGCATTTCCACGGCAAACGTTTTGCTTATATTTTGTATTCATTTATGAGCTTACTTATTAACGTAGAAAATCATTTTCCTATAACGACGTTTTACTATTTCTTCTATGTGTGGTTTTTTTCAATTATTTTCTTTCTTGCTGTTATTATGGCTAATTATTATATTTTTTAATAAAACATACTCTTTTGTGGATGAGTTAGTAAAGCTGTGCATTACAAGACGGAATTTTACAACCTTACATGTTACATGTATGCGTTGCAAACGTATAACAAGTCGACTACACACCCTGTGCTTCATATACAAAATAAGCTTGCAAATCCTTAAGCTTAAGTGTGAGAGGCGAATGTTTGAAAGATTTTTATTTAGATAGCTTTACTAAATGTATGCGAAAATATGCACTCTCTATCGGGAATATAATATTTGATCTATTATGAACCAATTGTTCAAATATGAGACCATGAATGCACCCACATTTAACATTCAATTCCTTCATACGAAAATGCGAAAAAGACAGAAACGTGAATTAATTAGCTATATATGCAATATGGAAACTAAAAACGACGTCATTTTCAAATATGGATAAAACGAAATCATCCTCATTTGAATGAAAAATTTCCAATAAACATTCGACCGAGGTGCAAAAACTGAAAGTCAATTTATTTTAAAATCAATTGTAAGATGATATTTTAATCGATATATACAACGAATGCTATAGCATTCGCGACAATATCGATAAACAATTTTCACCTGGGATGACGTGAATGCTATAGCATTCATATAAGCAAAAAAAAAAACATGAAAAAAAGCGACAATAAGAGAATCTACTCTCTTTCTAGTGTACAGAAATTGACGAATTTAAAGGCGCTTTAAGTAAATTTGTAGAGAGCGAAAAACCTAAAGAATCAGTTAATCAATAGTTCGGCAAGTACAATAATTAAAAAACCCCTAGATTATATAATATTAGCATTCAGTAAAGAAAGCATTGATATCATTTTGTATCACAATGAAAATGAATACTGTACTCACTTCCTCAAACGTGCTAAATGCATTAGTATAGTATCTATATCTTGGTCTAGATCTTGCTGGCAGCACTTTCTTTTTGTAAATCATCACCTCAATTAGAAATGTGGGTTTTATTTGTGAAAAAGGTGCAATCGTTAGCATTTTAGTCCATATGTATATAATTTTCACTCCTTACGGCAAATAATGGAGCCAATAATACCGTTTTACTTTTATTAGGAACTACACTGATTACCAATTAAAAAAAAGCTAACTAATGCTACTTTCCTAGATACCATGAATTTTCTTCTTTTTTATATATAAATTTCCTAGTGATATCTCAAAATTCTGATATTGCAAGGCTTAGTTGGAGCTAAATACTTACGTAACCATGTTATTTACGGCATATTTCTACTATTGAAATGATTCTTTCGTTATTTAAGCTACGATCATGATTTATATTCAATTAAAACGTTAGCAAACGTTCTGTAATGTGAAGTTCCTACTCAGCCTGTGGCATTCGTAAACAATTTGAATAACAACTCTGACTTTCTACTTGATTAGCACTGAACATGCCGCAAAATGACATGCTGAACATCAAACCATAACAAAATTGCAGAAACTGTTCAACATGACACACCCTATACTGTATGACGGGCGCATATTTTTTGCGGTCGGTGCGTGTAATTCTGCGTCCCGTGCTGAAAAAACATTTTTTTATATTAATAACAACTAATAAATTTCTACAAAATTTGCAGAAATTATTACACAAAACTGGCACTATGTCGGGACATATCAAGGTTTTATGAGAAAACACTCAGAAAAGTGTATTAAAAAAATTCACTGAAAAAAGCCTTTCGATTCCATACAACGTACGACGACAACGGCCAGCAAGAACAACACACACAACTCGAGCGAGGTAAGAAAGAAATTTCTAAAACGACTAACGAAATGTCAGTTCGTAAAATGACAACCATTGCTATTTTCTCAACACATGTATATAAAGTGCTGCCATATAGTGAAAATTGCTTTAGAAATTTACCACTCAAAACAAATGTTGCTCAAATAAATGTTTGTAAGTGAATATAATCAGTGGCGTAGTGTCCACGGTTAAATTTAAATGCTCTTTTCTTTTTATAAATACCTCTTTTTATAAAATTAACGAATTATTATTATTATTATTTTTTTTTTAATATTTTTTCAGCTATTTTTATATAAGTTTTTCTTTTTGTTTAAACAAATCATGTCATCTGCTCCATCTACGAGTAGTGGAGAAGTTAAATATGTCACCGAAGTGCCTAGCAGCTTAAAACAATTGGCTCGACTTGTAGTGCGTGGTTTTTATAGTATAGAAGACGCTTTAATAATTGATATGCTCGTACGTAATCCATGTATGAAAGAAGATGATATTGCTGAATTATTGCGATTTGAGAAGAAACAAATGCGAGCTCGAATTTCCACTTTGCGTAGTGATAAATTTATACAAATACGTTTGAAAATGGAGACAGGTCCAGATGGCAAAGCCCAAAAAGTTAATTACTACTTCATAAACTATAAAACATTCGTAAATGTTGTCAAATACAAATTGGATTTGATGCGTAAACGTATGGAGACCGAAGAACGAGATGCAACAAGTAGAGCCAGCTTTAAATGCACGAATTGTAATAAAACTTTTACCGATTTAGAAGCAGATCAATTATTTGACTTCGATACTCACGAATTTCGCTGCACTTATTGCGGTAGTTCTGTAGAAGAAGATAGTTCAGCTATGCCAAAGAAAGATTCACGCCTTATGCTGGCACGTTTCAATGAACAGTTACAGCCTCTTTATGATTTACTCAGAGAGGTAGAAGGTATTAAGCTAGCACCCGAAATTTTGGAGCCTGAGCCAGTTGACATAGATACTATTAGAGGGTATATATTGCTTTTGCTCTTATGAAATATAAAATACTATAATATTAAAGTAAAAATTATAGGGTATGCAAACCGCCTAACCACCGTTTGGATGGACAGCAATGGTCCGGAGAGGCAACACGCAATCAGGGTTTTGCTGTTGAGGAAACTCGTGTAGATATTAATATAGGAGGCGATGATGTAAATGATGCAATAGATGAACGCAAATCTAGACCAATTTGGATGACAGAAAGCACTTTGACTACGGAGGATATCATTGATAATGCCGATGCTATACTCAATGAAGCAGCTCAAAATTCCACATTATCGTGTGCTTCGAGTACTACAACGTCCACGCAACCCAACAATCGTAGAAGGGAACAAGAAGATATTATGGCTGTACTTTTGCAGCATGAGAAACAAGCAGAACATAAAGATAATCATGTACGAAGTTTGAAATCTTTCTCATCCAATGCCAATTCTACTGATTCCAGCGATGATGAAAACGATATAGAAAATGCTAAAATATGTAGGTTATTTTACTACAGATTACAGGCGTACTTTTAAATTATTCGTTTTTTATTTATTCATTTTTTTTTTTTTGTATTATGTTAGCCAAAGCCGATTTTAATAATTTCATTAATTCTGAATCTGAGGAAGATGACGATGTTCCTACTGTATTAATAGCCGGTCATCCTTATCCATTAGATCAGGTCAACGATGAACTCATTGCTCAAATGACACAACAGGAAAAAGAAAATTACATACATGTATATCAACAGCATTACAGTCATATATACGATTGAGAAACGAATTAAGATCGTCATCAGCCATCCTTTTAATTATTTTAATTATTTGTCCATACATTAGTTAAAATACATGTGCATAAAAAAAAAAAAAAACAAAACATAAAACCTAGATATTAAGAACACTTAAAAAAAAGATGAATAACAATTTTGTTTTTCTTTTTTTTGATTCGATTTTTCTTTGTAAGAACGTTTTCAAGTTAATAAAACATAATATTGATTGTGAAATTCGTAATAACATATATAAAATTCACATCAATGAAATTTTAATATTCAGGCGCTACTGTCTTTCTTCTAAACAAGTATCCAACATATATATACTCTTTTCATTTTGTTGACTAAACATGTTTCATCAACGTTAACACGATATGGCAGCCCTTCGACTAAAGTTTGGTGAAGTTCTCAATTCTCAGAAAATGACAATTAAAATGCTCAGTTTGTTTTCTATTTGAGAATTAGAATTCATAAAAACTGGATAGAGCGATGGGAAATGTCTTGACAAAATGTTAATTTGAAAATTAAATACCTATATGCAAAGTTTACAGAACGCTGCGGTTATGTGGTTTATAAAAACGAGTTATCTCGGTTGGTAACCGCAGTGAAAAAGGAAAAAAATTATATATAAAAATTCTTATTAGTTTATTGCATAAAACAAAAGGGGAAAATCTTAGGATTTTATTAAATGTGTGCCTTTACTGGTTTAATTAAAGGGATTACTATACACGTATATACATATATGTATATATATATATATATATACGCGTTTGTGTTCAATACGGCATTTTTTTTTTTTAACTTATATTTGTTAAACATTACTTACGCTATTAAGATTAGACCGCATGAAGCGCGCTACCTACGCGTAATACCAAAGTGCAGTTTATATTCAATATCATAAAATCAACATACTAGCAACAAAATGAGGCCCAATATTAATAAGGATTTGCTGCCCATAAAGGCTCATTATTTTCTTTTCAATGCAGGTGAGTAAAGTCGACTTTTTATGTTATTGTTTTTTAGTGGCGAAACGCTTGCTAGCAATTTTAATCTTAAAAGTATTGAAAAATTAATGACTAATTATGACGTTTTATTACCGGGTGATAAATAAAAGTGCGATTTAATAATACTTCGATGGTTGCATAGGCCGCCTCTTAATAGTTAATTCGCTTTGAAAAAAAGTTCGCTTTTATTTATTTTTTCTTTTCTCACTAATGTGTTAAAATGCATCGAACTCTCAAAGGCTTTGAAATATTCTTGCTTCGCAATTAAGAATCTCAATGCTTTCACATAAATTGTACACGATTTAAGTAAATGTTAAAATGCCAAAATCAATAATATTTTGGTCGAAAGTGTATCCTACGAAGCACAAAATTCGGTGTATAAATGTTGAACTGATTGTATATTAAATATAATAATAATTGCAGATGGTATACTGAGTACTGCGCTTTAAGTCTGTAGTAACAAATTGTTCGAATACATCTGAATGAAGTCTTCAAAATATACTGGTTTGGCTACGTCCGTTTATTCCTTCTCCTTCTTAAAAGTCAAATTGAAGGGAACTGTTTTATTTACAGTACTAAGCTTTTCTTCAATTTTTTTTTCGTCAATTCAATTTTATTTTAGCAAAAAAGAAGCAGACACAATTAACATAAAAGAGAAAAGAAAGTCAACACCCTTCGTAATCGGAGTCCCTGCAGAGACATGATATGCTTAAGGCACAAGCGGTAACGCTAATGTTTGAAACTAGCGAGGCAAGAATTCGATTGCTGCGTGGACATCCTTAAATGCCTTGGACCTCTGAAAACTCCATATTATTTTAATAAAACATTTTTGTCAAGAGCCAAGCTCGCTAAAGAAATTCCACTGATAGCGTTCGCTTTAGGCGAGGATTGAAAATTCAACTTGACCATAATTAAATTAAGACGCGATTCACGAAATTGCCATCGTACTCGTTCCTCGTTTTTCCAATTTTATCAACTAAAAGTGTAATCACTTTTAAATATGCAATTCGCGCTATATTAAATAAATTTTAAGGGAAAGAGAGAGAGAGAGAGAGAGAGAGGGGGAGAGAGTTAAACTGGCATTTATAGTAGAAATTTTTGTTGTGTAAATAAAATTTGAAAAGTGTTTAATTGAAATTATGCTGAATTAACAATTTTTTTGTTATTTTCTTTTTCTATATTTTGTTCTTCTTCTGCCTTTTAATATTCGTTGTTTTTTTTTTTTTTTTTTTGGTTTCTTTTTAATTTACATTTTATGCTACTTAAATTGAAGACAATATGAGATGATGGGCAGTTTTTTCCTTAATGAATTTTATTGGAATCTTAAAAAGCATAAAACTATGCATAGTTACAGATAGTTGAGTTAATTATAAAGAGAAATATAAAGATAAAGATTTTTTTAACATGTTTAGACTGCGATAAACTAAGCTATGATAGTTAAGTAGGTGAATTGTAATCTACAAATATATTTAAATGTGTGTATACAGCGGTATGCAAGTTTAAGTCAGGAAAAGCAAAAAAAAACAAAAAAAAAAAAAGCAAAAAATTTCAAATACTATCCTCTTAATAATGATTTATCACGGGAAACAATTGTACTTTACGTGTGCAAGAATGTAAGTTTCTGGTAATTTACTTAAATACATTTCGCTTTTAAATATAACGAGAGCTTTGCTGCTTGAATTTATTTGAAATTATATCACGTTTTATTGGCGACGTTTTTATTTTTAGGAACCGCTCCTGTTGTACCTTTTATGCCTACTTTAGCGAAGCAGTTGGGTTACTCTAGTATAGTAGTGGGTACAATGTATACAATATTGGCTGTAATCGGTATGTTAACTAAACCGTTGGTCGGTTTCCTGTCAGATCGGTAAGTGCAATAAACACTTTCAATAAAAGACCGACCGACAATCATAAACGGCTAAATGGGCTCAGATTGTTATATTACGGAATCTCCCTCCCTCTCAATCACAAAACAAATGTAGTATACCTTGAGACTCGATATTTTTCTTAGTGGGTGTCAGAAAAGCTTATTTTTATATATTAGATATGAAATCTTTACTTTTACAAGACGACTTTATCCAAAAGATCTATTAACAAAATATCAGATCTAATCAGATCTAATTGGTTTCTATCTAAAAGTGAATTCTTTTTTGCAATTGGTTCCTACTTTGAAAGTACAATTGAAAACGGTTTAAAATAGGGTAAAAGATAGCGTGTTCATTTCTTTTTCGTATATTCTTAGAAATTGTATAATCGATTTGTTTCCACTCTATGTAAAAAATATACTCACTTTAATATAAAGATTACCATAATATTGAAATTTGATAAAACAATCACTTGGAGTAGAAATAAAAAATGCTATATGAATCAAGGAGTAATGCCCCATTTATACCGGAAACCCTATAATGAAATACGCTAAAAATAAAAAACAAATACGAAAATCAAATTCAACCGGGACCAAATCTTTTATCCCCTTCACGGTTTATCCCAAAAAAAGACAAAAGAATTTGAAAGAAAAAAGTTCTCGTGCTGTATAATATGAAGTGGGCGCAGTTGATTTATTCTATTTTCAAAATAACATTTTTTGTCGTAGAGGCTTGTGGGAGTGTTGTAGGCGGGTCCTTTGAAATGTTTGAATCAATTCCAAACTTTTTTGCAAATTTGTGGGCGATATCTTCATTTTCGCTAACGGAAGAATATTTACAACAGACATTACACAGTTGTACAGATGCATAGATGGACAGACGAAAGAGACGGGCCTATTTAGGTGCATTCCAAATTTAAAACTGGCCAAGAATTTATATACTTTATGGAGGTTTTGAAACTAGCTTCTGCGCTTTATAAAACTATTGAAAAAACAATTAAACTGTGAGACACTATAATATTGGGTAGGCGTGGTCAACTTTTTCCATATTTGTACAGTTGCGGCAGCATCGCCCATAGAATATATCATCGAATTTTTATAAGTTTATCTGCTATACTTTATGAGTAATTTTCCATTCGTTTTGAAAGACAGAAGTGTTCTCAGTTTACGTAATGCTGCGGGCGTGCTCTTCGACCGATTTGACCCATTTTCAATAGCAACCTGCTTGCAAGAACTTCCAATGCTCCTGCTCAATTTGAAGCCGTCATTCATGTTCACTTTTGCGGCCAAACGAATGTTTACAACAGACATGCGGACAGACGGCACAATTCGACTGTAGGTATAAAAATTGGGAAATTTCGATCGTGAACGTCTTGCTTCTGTTATATTTTCAAATGTAAGAATATTTGTTTCGTCTGATAAAAGCTGGTCATATCTGGTCTTATAGGGAATGATTCCATCAGGATTCGGGATTTTAACTTGATTTCAAAATATATTCGCCAAAGTTGAAGTAATGGACATAGAGAGAGAGAGAGAGAGAGAGAGAGGTCTATGGCGTACACCTTTTATAGATATTGTTACGGATTGATTTTCCCAGAAGAAAAATTTCCGAGAGATGGAAAACTTTGGGATATTCGTGGCGTGTCATGCAACTGCCGGCCGACGGAAAAGATTAGCGGAAAACACATCACTTATGATAACTTGCTTACATAAGCAGAATATTTGAGCAGACTGCGTTAGTCGGAAAAGAATGTTTCAGTTAAGAATATTGTGAAACTTAAGTAAACTGTGAATAATCCTATCCTTAAAGGAATTGATTGTAAGTAAAACCCCGGTCTAGTGAGATGAACCGTAGAAAGAAAATTATTTCGTAAAAATCTTAAGAGGCGGGTACATAAGCTCTGCGTACTCACGTTCTTCGTTGATGGGGATAATAAAATGAGTAAAATAATTTGTTTCTTCATTTACACAAAGACATTGAATTGAGAGTTAGCTAAGACACACTTTCAAAATCTATCGGTTGATGTATGACATTCTTATTAAAAATCAATATTTTTGAACAACTGACTAATTTAAACTGAAAATGATAGAGACCAATTAATTTTAGGATAGCCAAAGATGATGGTGACTTAACTAAACAGGTTATATAAATGATAATTAGATTCTAAACGATTCCTATATTGATTGCTTTATTGCATTTTCGATTTCTAGATATCAACGCCATCGTATGCTTTTCATCTCCTGCGAAATTCTTACTGGGCTGGCGTTTTTTCTTATCACGTTTACGCCAGGTGTACAAAAACCGTTACCTGTTGTCGAATTGCACCATGAAAGCACTACGACAGTGCGCTATTGTTCCTCGGATAATTGCATTAGTACCAATTTAAAGAACCACTTTCAGAATCAGACCCTTACTTGTAAATTACATTGCCAAATTGAACCCTTTATATGGAACGATATGTGTAAAGAATGCTTTCAAATCAAACCAGAAAATTGCAATCGCAGCTCCGAGTATGTGGATCTCATCAGGGATATAAACATGAATGATATAGGAATGGACCAATTAACGGACGGGAAGACTTGTATGATTTTCACAGTAATACAGCCGGCTGATGATCTAGAAGCCTTGGAGTCAACGGATTGCCTCGACAATAGTACATACTTCAATACAACGTGTGAGCTTAATTGTAACAATGAATATTTGCATAGTCAATTGGCCGAAAGTCCAGTAATAAGCAACAGCGATGCTGTCAGTTTATATCAATTTTGGTGGTTTTTCGGTATGTTAACTATAAGCTGGATCGGTATGGCCGCCGTAGTTAGTATCGGCGATGCCATTTGCTTTGCCATATTGGGTGAACGGGGACATTTGTATGGTAAGCAACGTTTATATGGTTCAGTTGGTTGGGGTATATTCTCAATTTTGGCCGGTATCCTGGTTGATAGTATGTCAACTGATACAGAAAAAGATTATACCGCAGTGTTTTGGATGACTGCCATTATAATGGCTTTAGATGTATTGGCCTCGATAAAATTAAAGGTGAGTCAAAAAAAAAAAAAAAAAATCGTATTAAACTAAAACTTTATATTTTAACCTTTAGCATACACAAACCCATTTATCACCGAATATATTAAAAGATGTAGGTCAAATGTTTTTATCGATGCGTTGTGTGATATTTTTTATTTGGTGCGTATTTATCGGCCTGGGAACGGCGCTTATTTGGAATTTTCTATTCTGGCATTTGGAAAATTTGAGTAGTTGTCAAGATTCAATGAAAACGCTACAGGGCTTCGTTATGGCGATACAGTGTTTTTGCGGTGAATTGCCGTTTTTCTTTTCTTCTGGATGGATATTGAAAAAAATCGGCCACATTAATGCCATGAGTTTGGTTTTGTTCGGTTTTGGTGTACGTTTTATTCTGTATTCAATGTTACAGGATCCGTGGTATGTTTTGCCCATCGAACTTTTAAATGGTGTAACTTTTGGTCTCTTTTACGCTACAATGGCCTCCTATGCCAGTATAGTGGCCCCGCCGGGCACCGAAACTACTATGCAAGTAAGTTAAATTGAAAAATGATTTTGAAATTATTTTCATTCAATTTTTTCATTTCTTTTTTTTTTTTTTTTTTTTTTTTAATAGGGATTAGTTGGAGCTATATTTGAAGGTATTGGCGTATCTACTGGCAGTTTTGTCGGTGGCCTATTATTCGACTCAGTGGGTGGTGGACATACTTTTGAAATTTTCGGTGTGTCCTTTTTTATAGCTTTCATTGTCCATTTCTGTATACAGAAGTATTTACAGCGGCATCAGTCAGCTGATACCGATGGTAAGCAATCCTCTGAGCAGAACTCTAAAGACAGCATAAATCACATTAACAATCCCAATAGTGCTACACGACTAACTAAAGATATTGCCCCCACTGATACAGTCGATAAGATTCAAAATGACGATAATAATTCAAATAAAATATTTACAAGTCTTCCCAATAAGTGCTAAAATTTTCAAATTGTGCAAATATTTAAATTTAAAAGTAATGCATTTTTTTTGTTTTTTTTGTTTTAATTTTTTTTATTTTTGACTTCAGAACGTAATTACTTCAAAATTTTACTTTATTTACTGTATTTAAGAAAATTTTTTAATAAATAAATACAAAATTTTAAACCCGTGTCACATTAACAATTTCACCCGAACTTATTAGGTGTTTGCAAAAATTTCGATCAGCGAAAATGATAAAGAAATTAGAAATGCTTGCACACATAACGGTTGAATTCAATGATGTTGACCTTCCTCTACATAAAATAACAGTCTTCCATTTAATATTATTGATTTATTTAGCGTACGCTGATGCTAAACTTGGAACGCTCAAAATCCTTTTTTTTCCAAAGTCATTAGTTTCATTGTTTATTTGAAGAAAACTGTTGTCGAAGCCCACCAAAGACGTTCAGAAGCTTATGGTGACGTTCCCGTCCATCATATCGCGGTTGATCATTGTCAATGCCATTTTTTGACCACATGTTGGAAGAGTTGTCCTCCGGTGTACACCGTTGCAGATCGAATGGGAAGTTTTGCCACATCTAGCGTACTTGCCAGACATGGCGGCTCCTGATTACCACTTGCTCAAATCCGTCCAGCAAGGCTTGGCTGGCGCGCGGGTCCGCAAAATTGAATAAGTGTGAAAATGCATCGGCGGGTGGATCGCCTGCCAAACCAATAGAAGTTCATGGCCATGTTGCCAAAAATATTGTAGAAAATGTTGTAGAAAATGATGTACACTAGTAGATTAGTATATAATGCTCCATAATAAATGCCTTTTTCAAGTGAAAAAGTGATCAAAATTTCTGCAAACACCTGATATGATATCAAATTTCCTCTCCCCACCCATCCCATACACATTACGTTAACATGTTGTTAATTGCATCCTCATTATAGGAAAATACAATAACCGTTAATCTAAAATGTGTTAATAATTCTGTCCGTATTTATTTACCAGAAAGGAAACTCTGGATTGTGTTACCTTCGTTTTAGAAAGGGAAAAAGTGCCGCAAAGGCCTTCTCTCCACACATCTCAGAATTTAATTGCCTACTCTCTGTTCCATATGTTCAAACGGACGAATTAAGCAGAATCTTACAAGTGACAAAGAATTGGACAAAAAAAGGAAAAAAGCATATATTTAGGTAAATTTGATAGATCAAATGGGTGCGATCCGATTAGAGAAAAATAAAAGATCTACTTCATTCGATTCGATTCGTTAGCGATCTAATTACGATATTTCATCGAAAATAAGGTGCAAATATTTGTCAAAGGAGAAGAATATTTTCTATAAAAATAGTCTCAATACTTTTACTGACAAGTCCATCAGTTAAACGGCCGGCGCTTGTTATTCCCATCATCGAAGGATGATATATAGGATTGTATATTCATTTTGTCAAAACGTTTGCAACGCCCACAAGGAAGCATCAGATATTCCACAAAGTATATACATTCTTGATCAGGAGCAAATTCTGAATTTAATTTAAGCATGTCCGTCTGTCCGAATGTCTGTTGTAAAATTTCGCCAGATCACAAAAATGAAAATGAATATCGACTTCAAATTGGGCAGGAGCATTGGAAGTTCTTGCAAGCGGGTTGCTATTGAAAATGGGTCGAATCGGTCGAAGAGCACGCCCGCAGCACCACGTAAACTTGTAACACCTCTGTCTTTCAAAAGGAATAGAAAATTACTCATAAAGCATAGCAGATAAATTTATAAAAATTCGACGGTATATTCTATGCGTGATGCTGTCGCAACTGTACAAATACCCTACCCATATTATAGTGTCCCACAGTTTAATTGCTTTTTCAATAACTTTATAAAGCGCAGAAACTAGTTTCAAAACCTCCATAAAGTATATAAATTCTTGGCCAGTTTTAAATTTGGAATGCATCTAAATAGGCCCGTCTCTTTCGTCTGTCCATCTATGCGTCTGCACAACTGTGTAGTGTCTTTTGTAAATATTCTTCCGTTAGCGAAAGTGAAGATATCGGCCACAAATTTGTCAAAAAATTTGGAATTGATTTAAACATTTCAAAGGACACGCTTATCACGCTCACATGCCTATACTAGAGAGTTTGAAAATTATGTACTTTTACTTCCTTTGTCTTTTTTAAAGTAACGCTGATGAGTACAAAAGATTCGGTCCCGACCGAATTGAATTTGATTTGCTTGTGATAATTATGTTTCCTACTACTCTTCCAACATTTCTAAACAAAAAATTACACTCATCGTTAAATGAAGCATCAATACTCATCCCATAAATATATATATATATATTATTCGCGACTGCCTACTGCGGGTTAAATGGTACAGGCGTTGCTCGCTTAACACAGCATATATATTCTTGATCAGCGTTAAATTCTGAGTTGATTTAACCATGTCTCTCCGTCTGTGTGGGGTGTGTTGTTGGTACTCTCGAGATCGCAAAAATTAAGATATCGACTTCAAATTTGGGAAAAACATTGGAAACTTTTCCGCGAAGGTTGATATTGAGCGTAAACTAAACGCAACTCCTTTTTTTCTAATTTTTTTATTTTTGCTTGTTACTCGGAAATGAAGAAAGTTAGTTATTTTACGAAGCAATTTACTTCTTACATGTGAAAATGGAGGAAATCGGCCATGCCCACACAAAATTACAAGTGATTAACTTGTGTTTTTTTTTTTTTTACTTTTTTGAATTTTTATGTTTATTTATCATAAGGCAAAAACAACAGAATATTTAAAAGTATTTTGTATTACTCCTACACGCCTTAAACGAAGATATATTAACTGACTAAAAATCGGTTTATTCTAAAATGAAAACGGTAGGCACCGCGCTTAATTTTTTCCTAATAATACCAGCGATATGGGTACCAAGTAAAAGAAATTGGAGAATAGAATGCGAAAAATATAGTGGCTGGTATGCGGGATTCGGCACCTGCCGAATATAACTTTCTTACTTGTTTAAACATATTTTTCAATTTTTTTTTATTTCATCATAATGCTAAATTTCATGTTCTTTTTATATGTATATATATATATATATATATATATATATATATATAACTTGTATATGATGTATCTTTGGAAAAAAAAATTTCATAACAAAAAAAATGTTCCCTACAAAATTTTATAACCCGGTTGACATGGTTTCGATGTAACACGTTACACATTGCCTTGATTCATATTATTTTAAGGTATTTATCTTATAACATGGTTTGGATAAAACGCGACTACACGCATGGTACACATTTTTATACCCTACACTAGTTATGATACAGGGCATATTAGTTTGGTGCGGACGTACGCGACACCCAGAAGGAGTTAAGACAGTTGCACCTTTTATCACACCGATCTAGGCATGTCTGCCCATGCTTATTTGTATTCAACCTATAGATCGCGATTTTTAAAAAATTTTGGCAAACGCTATCGAAAATGGTTCGGTTTGGATCATTTTTTCGACCACTCTCCATAATCGTTATAAGAAAAGTTATTTGTAATTTTTCGAATTTCGCGACAAAAATCGCTTAATAATCGCATGTCGGCATTCTAAATTCGTGTGGTAAATTTAGATCGGATGGGTCAATTTCTTAAGCCCCTTGCCATATAAGCGTTCCTACTGGAATTAAATCATTATATGTTAAAATATGACTAACTTTCAATACTTCTTGATGAAAATTTGATATAAAAATTAACCTCACCGGATTTGTACCATGTAGGTTTACTTCTTTCGATTTCAAGCCATAATGAGAAAAAGCCTTTATATGTCAAAACAGTCGAATTATTAATATTTTGTGATGAAAATTTGGATCACCTATCTATAAGTAAAATCCAAATCCCATAAAATCCAAATATAAAATTTGGATCACTATCCGTAGACCTATTTTCTCGACTGCATCATGCAAGCAAGCACTTTTATTGCAAGCAAGTGCAAAGTAATAAAACCAAGTACAAGTAAATTAAATTTGCTATGGGATAGAGACCATCTTGACGCTTGAGTACCCTTCGTTATGACAGCTTTCATGAAATTTATACATTTACAAGAAAATAACGTGTAATTTTTAATGTACTATTAAACGACATGGTTTAGGGTAATTAATAGTGGCCGGCTTTGTCCGACTATAGCATTCTTATTTGTTTTGATTTATATTATATCTAAGTTTAAGTTATGTCGTTTTATAGAATGTTTTAGTTTAAAACAAAAAAGTAAAATAGTTTCGTATAACACGTTACGAATTAACAGTGTTAAGCGATATCGATATCGTGTTATGCCCATATTGCCAGTTATTTCACATAAAATGTAAGATATCGATCTTATCGAATTTTTTGTTAAATTTTATTTTTCAATGATTGATGATTTGTTAAATTGAATAAAGGACATATATGAATAAATTTAATTTTTCTCTCTTTGATAATTCCAATAAGAAAGTGATCATCGAACGACTTTAATTAGGAACATATTACAAATTAATATATTAATATTATATTATGTCAAAATCATTATATGCGCGCATTGATATTTACGCCAGTGTGTGTTACTAACTGTTTCTTTTTTTTTTTTTTCAACTAATTCTAGGCATTGTTAAATATTTAGCGCCTACAGATGCCATGCATATGCTTAACGAGCAGGACTTTATTAGAACGTAGAGACGAACCTTTTTGTTTACATATAATATATGTAATATGTGATGTAGTTATTTCATTATATCTTTGGCTTTTCTGTTTCTTTTTTTTTTTTTTTTTTTTTTGTTTGTTTATTCACTATTATGTAAGATAGTTTTTTAATGAAACTTTTTAATTTTGAAAAATGTGACTTTGTTTTGTAAGCATGTTAAAGAATGTGTAAAACGTAATTAAATAGAAATAAAATGTCCACACTTTTAAAGTAACTCCTTAACCTTATATATGTGCATGTGTATATTTGTCTTATTACATACAAAAAAAAAAAAAAAAACATCTTTTGCTTTAATGCATGCCGTTTATATAACGTTTGAGTTTATTTTTATCTCGCCAAGCGAAGAAAAAAATTCGTCTTCAAGATTTTCTTTACCTTTGTTATATGTTCAACAGCATTTATTGGATATGGAAAACCGGCTCTGTATTATTAAAGTTTTCATCAAAATTTTAATGAGAGAATATTGAACGATAAGCAGTGATTAAGAAAAGTTTAAAATGCTTTTTTTATTGGATATTTGCTATCTATCAAGAACAACGCTCTTGAGGGTTTCTTCAATCATCTCTTTACAGCCATGCATACACATACATAATCCTAATGTGTGCTCATAATAAATAAATATATATATATCTATATATATTCAGATCTAAGAGACATATATAAATTTGGGCATTTTTCAAAAGTTTACTCGGAAGAAAAAAAATATATATATATTGAAATGTTGATATGCATAACTTAATTCATTGGCTGCAAAGTCCTTTCAGGCTTTTGAATTTAATCATATATTATGATTGCATATCGCAAAGTGAAAGATGTTGCGCAGTTACATACTTTGTCTTCACAAACTATTTATTAAGTGTGGATATCAAGCTATTCGGCCTAAATCGAATTTATTCATTTTTGTTGCTTTTAATGGAAACCAAAAAACTTATACCGAATACTTTTACTATACATTTATTATTTATTTTCTAGTAATACAAAATAATGTATATAATGATTAAACATTGAAAAAAAAAAAAAATAGAACACAAAAAAAGTACTTTTTCTTTTAGTAATTACTGAGAAAGTATGCTTTTTCGTTTTATGTTATTTTTTAGCAATTAATGATTCTTCGTGTTGCTGCCTTTGTAATTTACGTTGCAATTCTTTTTGTTTGCCCGTTTGAATGTTTATGGCTCTTTTCTGCAATAAAATAAAGAAAACTAATAAAACTACCTATGCTCGCCTTGAAACGAATCATGGGTATTCATAGCACCTTATTTTGGAACGATACGTCCTCTACTGAGGTTGTCGAAAAAAAACTTAAGGCCTTTCAGTTCTCGTTCTGGTACAAGAATATATTAAGTTAATATGTATCTATGCAACAGCGAAAGCACTTTTGAAACGATCTAAGCTTGTCTGTCCCTCTGTCCATCTGACTTGTTTTCTTGCGCTCAATCTACAGATGGAGAAATTTTGTACATCAACATGCTTTGATCGAAGGACACACGCTATTGGCATGGAGTCCCGCGTCCCACTATCGTATGTTCAATCGTTTTTTTTTTTTTCTGGTTTTTAATCGTCCATATGGGCAGATTTCACAGTTTGTTAATAGCAGCAGGACATGATACCACCAATGAACGAATACATACACAGTTTCACAGCCAAGTTAGCCTATGTAGCTCTAAGGCAATATCTCCTTAACAGAAGTACACACTTTGGGCAATGGGAGAACATTGAAATGAAAACTGAATCTTAATCGCAAAATGTACAATGCTTCAGTGACACTTTACTGGCAAGTTACTGCAGCACTTATGCGTGCAATGTTCTGCCCTTGGCTGCCAAATAAATTATCCCCCAACAGCCTACAGAGAACTTATGATGTGAGTCGATTTACAATCTTTTAGATTAGACAATGGGCTACGTGGTTCCTTCTTTTTAGGAATGACAATACACTTTGACCCTTTCGGATTTCGTGGACTCCTTTGTTCAGGTTGTCAATGTCGGTATCACGGACGCAACGATACTTTCGATTAGTTAATTGCAAAAATTAAGTAAATATTATTAAGTAAATATTTTCATGTATCTGCAATTAAACATTGAAAAGAAAAAGAACACACAATATATATATATATCTATATATCGTTCTGAATATACTTAGTTTCAAAATTAATATATACAAAATATTTTTAGCAGATATTCTTCGTCTTAACTTTGTTAGGAATATTTAGCAAAAATCATATAAAAATTCTTATCCAAATTGTTGCTTACTCTCACATCAATATAACCTTTACTTGTTAAGAAGACATTTTCAAAGAGAAACAAAATAGGTGCATACCCGATGATTTAAAGCGAGCATAGATCTGTTAGATGTTTTTTGAATGTGCATACCTTTAACACTTTGGTACGTTGGTATATGTTCTGCATTTGTTTTTTGATTTTTAATAATTTCTCACGATAGATTTTTACATTGTCCATCTATCCGACGCATCAAATTGGAAATTAAACCATATTATGAAAAAGAAAAATCGAAATTTATTAAGATGATTGGCAAGATGAATCTTGGATAATTCCAAGATGCATTATCGGTCCGCGTTGTGCCATATAATCTAATATAATGAGTAGTAAGTTTTTCCACTCATACAACTACAACGTTATCCACTTTCAGACTACTTTGAGGATTTCGTCCAAGAATAAATTCGCAGAATTTCTATTTGCTGATTACGTTATTACGGCCTAAACGATTCAAACAATATATAAAAAAGGTCGGAGACAAAAATCCGATCCTTTTAAGATTGTCCCGAAGCGAGTCCATAGTTTTTATTACGACCGTTACATTTAAATTGTGACCCGACATACACTTCGTTTGCTTTTCTTTATACCTCGTCCTTACTATTGCAACAGAGTTTACGCGCAAAGTCTTGAATGTGTCATCGGGTTCGAAAAGTAAGTCTGGTGAGTATTGTCTTTTCCCTCAAAACTACCTGTTGATGTCAGTTAGATATATGAACATTAAATGTTTTCAAGCGATTTTTTTGGGGCTGTAATCATAGAAAATTTTAAAAACAATTATTAAGTCCTGTCCGCATATAAATCGATACGATGATATTACGTTATGATTGCTCTTTTGTATGGTGATGAAAAAGAGATTAATAAATTTATTTCGTAAAGATTCGTAAGCTTACCATCTCTTGCAATTTGATTACTTCGGCATTATCTAGTTTGAATTTTTCAGCTGATAAATCAATATATATCTTGTTTTGTTTACCACTGCAAATACAATAACTGTAGGTAAGCCTCAAAACCAATAGGACCGAGGTAAATTCAAGGCTACTTACATGAGTTCTTTAAGTTGCCCCTTGGCCTTCGCTAAAGGCGGTTCATACATCTGCAACATGCCTTGAGAAAGTAGCAAGGATGCTGACGAACTACTTGCTGTTGCAAATTCGCCTTTTGCATTGTTCGCATTGTTCGCATTACTGCTCTCGGGCTCGTTTGATAAGCTTTGCACAGATTTTTTTGCTAGAATATTATCATCTTGTTCCATAATACTGAGTTAATTTCGAAATAAATAATTTATAAAACTGGTCGACTTTACTGATATTGTGGAACAAAGAATTTTGGTTTTTTTCTTTTTATATTTGAATATAAGTAGTGGGTGTGCAGCAAGGAAAGATCGTCAATAATTAAAATTTGTAAATAGAAATGTTTTGTAAATAAACAAATCAAGCAACAGCTGTTTGCTGTCGCCGTTGACGATGTTTGTAAATGTGTGCAGAAAAATATATGTACACCAAATTCTCCTTTTACACGAGTATAAAAGAAAAAAAAAATAATCCTTTTCTTGCATGAATTGTTTTGTTTTCATACGATTTTCAATATTCTATGAATTTGTTTTTTTTTTTTTTGGTGTTTCTTACTTCCCTCACAAATATGCATTATCGCTTCGTCTGAAACTTTTCACAAATGTGTATCGAAAAATGTATACACCGTAGTCTCTTTTTACATGAAATTTGATTTAACACGAGTGTAAAAAACAATAATCCTTTTCTTACATGAATTGTTTCGTTTCCATACGATTTTCAATACTCTATGAATTTTTTTAATGAATTTCTTTTTGGATGTTTCTCATTCACTTGCATTATCGCTTTGTCCGAAACTTTTCATAATTTGACTAGTTTGTCGATTACATGTGTGTATGAGTGGAATTCCTCGAAGAGTAAAGATGTAGTGTATTTTTTACGGAAGTTAGTTTGGTTTTTCAAGGTATAATTTATTTTTTTATAATACACATAAAAAATTAAAATGTGTAAATACGAAATAAATTCTGAAGTGAACTCTAGAAACATTTCTTTTTTAATTTTTGTTATCTGGGAGCAATCTATTTATTATTTATATTTAGTCATTTCAAAGAGTTTTTGATAAAAAAAAGTTTAGGCGAAAGCAAACTTATAAAGTGCTAAACAGAACAAAACATTTACGCTAAGTGTCAAACACAGTGCAGAGGGCGATGATGTAGCTGAGAGTTACCTTTTACCTTGGGTTGAACTGTTTTTGTCAAGGAATAGAATACGAAAGCGAAGGCTAAATAATTCATACGCGCCTGCGTAGATACATCGTTGGTTAAACATATCTCATGAATGAATGAAATGAATTAAAAATGTTTTTGTGCTAATAAACAAATTTTTTACAGAAATTTTTCGCTCTCCTAATAGACGCGTAAAAGATGATTAATTGCCAATATTCATGGTATTTCTGTCGCGCCCTACATTGCACCACAGAGGAAAGGATGGCTGGCATTAATACCATTCATGTATCTGGCTAACATAAGGTATTAATGAATACAAGGATAATGATGATAACGCAATCAACCAGGCGGATAATTGCGTAGCTGATAGTTAGCTTAGGCGGTACTGCCGAAGATTGTACTGTTGTAGTTGTTAGTAAAGCGGGTTTTTGGCGATCTCTACCTCACTTTGGCCTCTTTTACTAAAAAGTATAAAAGTTAAAAAGCAACCATAAGTAAATCTTTTAAATTACATATACTGGACATGCCCGCTTCAGCGTTGATTAACTATTCTTCCATTGTTTTTTTTTTTTTTTTAATCCATTATTTTTTATTTTTATATATAATTCAACTTTTATTATTTTATTCTTATTTTAATTAAATTTTTTCTTTAAATGATAAAAATGCAAACCACCAGTTTGAAGCCTGAAATATTGATCATTTGTTTTCATCAAGACATCGCTATTTGGGCTGTCAAAAACGACGCACGCACGAATCTTTAAAAGTTTGCCGAACGCAAAACGTAGAGCACGCTATATGTTCAGCTTCATATAAATACCACAATCAATTTTATTTTGACAATTCGTATCGCATGCGTACGGCTTTCTTGCTGTTTAAGTTTTTTGTTTCGGTTTCTCTTTATGAGATTTTACATAATTTATTCCCTTTATAAGCGGTGTTCGTCTCGTAACTACTTCAGACTTTATATTAAATTTTATCATTGTTAATATAACTTCTTTGCTTTTATTTTGTTTTTTCAATACGTATTTATGAATTTTTAGAAAGTTGCAGACCTATGCGCATATATTAGTTTCAGAAGGCATTTGCATATAAAAGTTGCAGAATTTAACCCTTTGTACTCTTATGTTGACTGTCGTATGTCAATATTATACATGTCGCATCAACTTTTATGTCGAACTAGAGTCGACATTATGTTATTTGAAGTTATTCGTTAAGGTGATAGTAGATGAAAATAGGGGAGCAAAGGGTTAAGGATTGCGAGTTGCTTTTGAAAAATATGAAAGTAACGTTCATAAATTGATTTGGAATTGAACTGCGATGTGGTGCAAAGTCGACGAGCGAAAGACAAAAGATGAAAGCCATTTGAAAAATATTCTTTTTTAATTTTTCATTTCAAAAAAAACGTAACAATCATAAGTGATAAGGTCCTTCATTATCGATACCATTAATATAAGATTTTATTTTCAAGCATTTGTTTTTAAAGCGTCTTACAGTTTTAAAAGTATTGCTTCTATAAGTACATTTGAAACGTTGCGTGGATTATATACATGCTGCAGGGGGCATGTAGAAGTTGCAACGAGAATTTGGCGTTTTCTCTTGCAGAATGAGAATAATGAAATGAAACAATGGAAGTGACCAGAAGTTTCTTCTTTTTTTATTTTTAAATAAAGATAATCCCCGTAGGGGGTAATCACGCAGTTGAAACTTAGCTTTTGCCTTTGTATTCAGCCGCTTCTCCCAAATAGCTGAGTACAAAAGCGAAAGCCGAATTTTTCATACATAATTACCCGCTATGAGTATTTAAAAGTGATGCCAAGTTGATACCTTTGCTTTATTTACAGCAACAGTTACGTTAATAGTAATGCAAAAGGGATACGTTATTGTAAAAGGAAATTTATGAAAGACATGGTAAAGCTAATGGAAAGAAACCTAGAACCTAGAGAAATACGTGACTTATTGAAAATTTACTTCACTAAACTGTTTTCTTATTAACTCAGTTACTAAATTAAATTTTTTTTTTTTTTTTACTTAGAAAAAAAGAATTAGATTTACATGCAGAAGCACTTAAGACAGACACTCCTTTTATTATACCGATTAAGATTGTCTGTCCATTTGTTTGTCCATGGTTTGTTTACGTAAATTTGCGTTATTTGTCACAATTTTTGAGATATTCTGATGACATGCTTTGAGTCAAGGACAACTGTTAGTGAAAGTGGCTTGGATCGGTCCGCTTTTTCGACCTCTCCCCATATAATGCCCTATTTTGAAAACTCGTTCTATAGAAAAAATTGTAAATTTGAAAACTTTCCGACAAAAGTGGCTAAGTAATGGTATTTCGGCATTCTAAATCGGTATGCAAACTTTGAACGAGCTGGGAAAATTTTCTGAACCCCCTGTCATGTAACGAAAACCGAAATTTTTATGACAAAAAGGTCTAATTTTCAAGGCTTCATGACGAAAATCAGATCATAGGAGTGACGTACTAAATTTGAACCACCTCGGCCAATATTTTGAATCGTACCCTATATATAGACTTTCATCAAAATTGATCCTTTGTAGGGCAGAAAGGTCTAAATTTCAATATGTTATGATGACACTTAACCCAAAATTGTAATTTAAGATAAATAGAATTCACTTTACCAAATTTGAACCACCGGCGCCTGTTTTTGGATCCTACCCTATATCAGGATTTTTACGAACATTTTTGTTTTTTAAGGCCGAAAAGCTTATCTTTTTAAATTTTATAATGAAAATTCATTCATAATCGTAGTTTGATATAAAAACTAACAATGACGAGTTTTGAGTACGTAGCACTATTTTTGAAGCTCTTGCCTACGACCATTCGTACGGAAAGTGAGCCTTTATTTGCAATTCCATAATAGTAAGTTCAAATAAAAACATGGTATAATATTTGTGTTCTGTGGCAGAAATAAGAATTGTGTTAGACAATGTGCTGTAGGATACTTACGCGACTGTAATGTTTTGACTTGTTTTTTTTTTTTTTTTATATTTATATTAAAGAAATCATATTTTCTACGAAAGTGAGGACAAGTTCGAGATGCAACTTATGTATTTATGGAATTCTTTACCCAAATCTAGATAGATCATATCAATCAATCATATGCCCAGGCTTCCAAACCATACGATATTGCTGCATTAATGCAATGGCAGCAACATGTTCTTGTACTTGTTTGCCGTGCCTCATCACCGTACAAATGCATGATAGAAATGCATTCAATCTCCCCAATTTTTAAAATTGCGAATTTAGTTGAAGCAAAAACTGGAGAAAACAATAAAAATTTGCAGCAATAAAAAGGGGAGAAAAATTTGACCGAATTTCTCAAATCTCTTATACTCATAATGATGGGATCAGAATACATAAAAATTTAAATTTACGCAAGACTCAAAATGGGCTATGTAAGGTTATGATTTAAGTGTCATCTTTGAAAGCAGGTTAATAGAACCTATCGTCAATAACCGGGAAAACTCTCTGCGTTTCATTACATATCTGAACCGGGATATGAGTAAACGTCAATCAAATTAAAAATGTCGTTATGAGAAAACGTGGGAAGGATACACGTTGAGACCATCCCATCTCTATTAGACCGGATTTACTAGGGACTTTTCAAGTAAGGACACATTTTTTGTGGTAATGTTTTTATGGAAGAGGTCGCGAAACTTAGATTATATTACATATTAATCACCTTTTTTGTCAAAGTCCTTGGTATTATTCAACCAAAAATCAGACTTTGTGGTCGTATAAAGGCTTAATATTCAAGAAAACATTTTTACGCGGATAAGGATAACCTAAATTTGACACAATTGAAATTAGTTCTTACTGTGAAACATCAAAGATAACACCTTTTTAACATATATAGAGTTGTCCGGTTGGCGGTCCGGTTTTGGCGATCCTGCTTCAGTAGCATATGCAAAACAGAAGTATTATCCAGGGTATCATTTAGTGAGATCGAAAATTAGACCCATTTCCCGTATGACGGCTTACTTCTCGAAGCGGAACGGTCGAACGGAACGGTTGAATGGCATTTCAAATATCAGTCCAACCGTACGCAGCTTTTTATATAAATTTCTGACGCTAAAATGCTATTTGTCAGCTATTTTTGTCGAGAAATTTTGAAAATTCGCAATTTTTTTCATATGGCGACTACTTCAAAATAGGGCGTTATATGGAAAGTGCTTTTAAAAATATGCCGATCGTAATCATGTTTAATAGCGGTAGTCTATGAGCCAAATCAACTAATGTACTAAACTTGCTAAAAAAATATCTAAAGAACTCAGACCTGTATGTGGAGCAGACATGCTTAAATCGATTCAGAAAATTATTTCAAAACGATCGATATAT